ACACACTTGGCGGATTATATGTTGTAGGATATTAGCGATATCGAAAACCAAGGAATACGTCTTTCAGGATAGCTCCAACAGAGTTCCCTTTAGTAATAGAAGTCACAGGGACAAGCTGCTCCAGTACAGAGATACGTATAGAACAGCTCATATACACAATGCACTAGAGTTGTACGAACATCTTGTCAAAATATTGCGCAGTGTGACCGAACACTTTCCTCGGAAATGAGATCATGTATTCGATTAGGCATACTACCTGTAAGCTCACGAAGTAAAGTAGAAAAGCGTAAGCAGTTCCTTGTGCATTCGCATTACGATACCAAAGCTTAGTATGCAGGTTTGCTCATGATTACGTGTTGGAATAAAACCAAGGTCTAAGGTACCCAAGCGCAGTGAGTCTTGTGTCGTGATCACGTTCTGACAAGGCGAAGGCATCGGCGAGGTGCTCTTGAACCATACCAGAATAAGGGTCTTATAAGGGCCGCATGTTCTCACAAGGCTAGACGAGCCGATCGGGTGCTTCTGTGCTCAGGGTACAGCATCGTTGTGCGAAACCCATAGGGGGGTCGTACTTGGCCGCTGGGGAGGGGGGGGGTCGTAATCTCAAGGGTCACTCAGAGCCGGGCAATGCTTCGACATTTCAGTTGATAGTGGGAGTGGAGCTATGGAAGTCAAGATGTTAAAAAATGAAAATTATTATGAGTGTATTCTTTACAGATTGAACTGCTACGTTTAACAGCCCTCTTTTCATGCAAAATCCCCAAAATGGGTTCGTACTTGGCCGCGGGGGACATGGGGAGTATCGCAAAAGTAGGCTCGCTAGGCATCAAACAGTACAAAAGTGTCATTGCTAAGTTTGATGGAAGGAACGGAAAGCTGCAGAAGACCCGGATGTAAATAGGACTACAAAATAATAAAAGATTTATTAGCAATATAGCAAGAATAAAGAATATACAGGGGGGGCCAAAAAAAGTCACTTTGCCTCATTGACTTTCGAGGCGCTATAAGTTACACTTTATCAAATTCTGATCGGACATTTTTACTACCATATTGAAGAGCATATTAAGTACTATCACGACACTCCGCCACAGCCTTCTGGACGAACGCCATCGAGAGATTCTGGCACGCGACCGCGATGTGGTACCTGAGATCAGCGGGGTAGTCGATTTCTCCGCCACCGTAGACCACCCTATTGAACTCCGCCCGAACTAGGTAATTGAGTGGGTTCAGGTCAGGGGACATACTTCAATATTACATCTTCTTCAGGTACGAAACGCCCTTCCATTCGAAGTAGGCGGGAGTTTTTCCAAAACCCTTCGATTCCATGTGGTGGCACCCAAACCTGTAGCAGCACAAGGTCTCCAAGAAGGTACGGGCGACCACATGTAGGGAGGATATTCTTCTCGAGTTACTTGATGTAACCGCCAGCGCTCACCTTCAGTCCGGAAGAAAATATCGGTCTTCCCATTCCAGGTACCCCGGTCCATACCATCAACTCGCGCCTCGGCGACTACGGTGAAGATGATGTCCTAGACCGTAGCGACGTTGACGAAGCTGCTCGATGTTGGAGGTCATCCAGATCGAGAGTACTGGTCTCCAGGTAGCTATCCATGGGTGACTCCATACTAGAAGTTTCGCAGCTGTTTGGAGGTGACATGAATTCCAAAGGTCTTCTCCAGTCAGGCTGCGACTGGAGATGACTTCATATTTTGGTGTACATGAAGGTGATGGGCGAGAGCCAGCTCCTGCTTATAGAGGAACATCTTGGGTATCTTCCGCCCTGGTACTCGTATCCACGTCCTCTGTCTGGGCTGCGAAAACTTTGCTGATATGTGACTTGGTCAAAGTGACTTTTTTTTGGCCACCCCTGTGCATCAACAAGCAAACTTATGGTTAGCTGATTAAGAATAGTAGGATGCTTTCTTCTACTAACATATGAGCTCATTTGTAGCGATTTTCTTTCTTTTTTCAAGAAATCATTGTACGACATCTGGTGAACAAGACACGATTTGACATCTCTTTATTCTTCGTGAATTGACACAGACCTCTTCGAAGAAATCGGTGCCTGATGTTCATGAAGGTTCGGCAGAGGATAATCGAAGAGAACGTAGTCCCAATATAGAAGCTGCAAAAAATGATTTCAATAGAAAGCAGGAAAGAGTACTGTCTCTGAGCATTCGCCGCTTCGCGCCTATTGCGACAGAAGGCGTCGTTAAGGTGCCTTAGGCTGCGTTCATACTTTCTGCTAGCGTACGCCAGCATACTA